AGACTGAGGAAGTCTTTCGGATGAAAGACAAAATGTTTCTACAATTTATTTGTTTAGTTTTGTTTTTTTTGAATGTCCAGAGGACCAGATTTAATTTTTTTAGACTTCCTCCAGTTATTTAACAGTCAACAATGGTGTACCACAAGGCTCAGTCTTAGGACCTACTCTTTACAATCTACATAGGTAATGTAGGTCAGAGCATCCTTGATGCATCCTTACATTTCTATGATGATGACACAGTTGTTTATTGTCGAGCTAAAACAGTTGCTAAGGCTTTCCAGCTTTTGCAATCTGCTTTGACATCATCCAGTCAGATTTGTTCCACCTCAAACTTGTCTTAAATACCGATAAAACCAAAGGGATGCTTTTTTCCAAACAGAAAGTCGGTCCCAGCAGTTCTTCCTCTGATGTTATCCTCAAATGGTGTCCCTATTGAGCTTGTTGATTCCTATAAGTATTTGGGTATCTTGGTCGACTCGCATATCTTTTTTAACTTTACGTGAAAAATTCTAGTAAGGAAACTGAAAGTTAAACTGGGTTTCTTTTTCAGAAACAGATCCTGTGTAACTTTGAATGCTAGGAAACACCTTGTAACTGTGACTTTCCTTCCCTCCATTGATTACGGTGACATTATTTACATGAACGCTCCTACAAGAACCCTGCAGATGTTGGATGCTGTCTATCATGGTGCACTAAGATTCATAACTGGCTGTGATTATCATACCCACCACTGCACCCTGTATTCACTGGTTAACTGGACATCATTAACTTCACGCAGACTCTCTCACTGGTACATTTTCATCTTTAAATCACTTCTTGGTCTGTTGCCATCATACATCTCCTCCTACATGTCTCTGCGTGAGTGCAGCTACAGCGTGCACTCTCAGGACATTATTACCTGCAGTGTTCCCTCAGTGAGAACTGAACTTGGCAAAAGGTTCTTCTCCTACTCCGCTCCTGTTTCCTGGAATATCTTACAAAAAGATCTGACGTTCTTAACCTTGACCTCTCTAAGTGACTTTAAGCATCTGTTGGACTCCTGGCAAGGACCAATGCAGATATGTTCCTGTTTTTAGTTTTCTACATTTGCCTTATAATCTAGCTGTTTTTTGCTACTTTTTTGGCCATCTTATTTTAATTTG